GTGAGGGCCTGTTTTCTGGTTCAGCAATGATGCCTTCTTGTTGGGTCTTTATATGGTGAAAGGATCAAATAAGGTACTTTACACCTCTTTGATAAGGGCACTAAGCCCTCTAGCCTCATGACCCAATCACTTTTCAAAGGCCACTCAAAGGTCTTTTGAGATCGTCACCTTGGCAGTTAAGATTTCGACATATGAATTTAGGGGTTGGGAGTGTGGGTAACAAACAGTCAAAACATAATACAACTTCACAGTAGTTCTATGAAATGAGTAGATGTTGTTTACCACCATTTTCAGATGAGGAAATTAAGGATTAAAAACATTTCCCCAAAGTAAGAAAAGTAGTAAATTTGAGAGTCTAACTTCAAACTGTAATTTTTAACTACTGTCCTGTACTTCCTTTTTTCTCTTAGGGGCTATTTAGATACTTGAGCTTCCTTTCGCAGCCATCTTCCTCTTGGGTCTAAAGCTGTCAGGTAGATTTAAATGGGACAAGAGGGCCAGGTGCAGTGGCTCACACCTCTAATCTCAGCTATTTGGGAGGCTGAGGCAGGAGAATCACTTGAACCCGGGAGGTGGAGGTTGCAGTAAGCTGAGATGGCACCGTTGCACTCCAGCCTGGGCAACAGAGCAAGACTCTGTCTCAAGGAAAAAATAAATAAAATAAATAAATAAATAAATGGGACAAGAGGAAGTCATCTGAAGAGCACTTACTGAATTCAGATGTAATTATCTGCTTTTTCAATGATTTTAAGAAATTAGAACCACTGTTTTTATCTGTCTCTTCATGACTTTTTTCAAACATTGGTTTTCAGCAGTTCAACTATTATATACTTAAGTGTGATTAAAAAAATATCTATATATCTATATATATCTCCTGCATGGATTTGCTGATATCCTCATATCTATAAATTAATGTCTTTCACTGAATTTAGAACACTTTCATCCTTTTTTTCCCCCCCAGATATTGATCTTGCTCCATTCTTTTCTCTCCTTTTGGGACTAAAATTACTTGTCTGTTAGGCTTTTTGATATTGTCCAACAGGTCTCTGAGGCCGTCTTCAATTTTTCAAACATTTTTTCTGTTATTCAGATTAAATAATCTCTATTGGTCTCTCCTCAAATTGTACTGACTCTTCGTTCCTCTTCAGTCTGCTGTTAAATGGATCCAATCGATTGTTTCAGATTTTTTTTTTTTTAATTCTAGAATTTCCATTTGACTCTTTGTTTACTAAGCTTTCTTATTTTTATTTACTAAGAATACATTTTCCTTTGAGTCTTTGAGCATAGTTATAATAGCTGCTTAAAAAACCCTTGTCTGCTATTTCCAGAAACTGGGTCACCTCAGGGTCGTGGGGATGGTCCCCATAACTATCTTTTTTCTTAAGAATGGATTACATTTCCTGCTTTCTTTTTCTTTTAGTTGTTTATTATATTGAGCTATTTTAAATTATATCACAGACATTGTGAGGGACTGATTCTGTTTTGTTCCTCCAAAGAGTAGTGCTTTTTTGTGTCAGTAGGTAGTTAACTCAGTAAACTAAGACCTCAAACTCTGACTCCCTAGTGTTGGGAAGCAATCTAAATTGCTGTTTAGTTCTTTTAGCTTTAACTGGGCTATTGCGTGCAAACTTGACTCAGGAGTCACTTAGTGACTTAGGGAACATTTGTACACAGAATCTGAACTCTCCTTTTTGGAACCTCTCTTTTTACCAGATTTCTTCTTTCACTTTCACCTATTGTGTTGCCTTGATCTCTGTCCTGATGTTTCAGTGCAGAAACATCATCTGAGTGTTAGCCACTCGTGTTGCGGAACCGGGCCTACTCTCAGGCTAAAATTGACCAAAAGCAAGAACTCACTGGATTGCTGGGTTTCCAATTCTTGATCACACTCCAGAATGTCCTACTTTTGATCATCTGGTGACTAGATTTTTGATTTTTTAAAAATATTTGTTCAGAATTTATAGTTGCTATCTACCAGGGAACTTCAATAGGAACTACTCAACCAATGCCAGAACCTTCTTGAACTTTCTAGAAACACTGTCTTATTTATTTTATTGGACAAAGTCTCACTCTGTGCTCTTCCACCCAGACTGGGGTGCAATGATGCAACCTCGGTTTACTGCAACGTCCACCTCCTGAGTTTGAGTGCTTCTTGTTCCTCAGCCTCCCAGGTAGCTGGGATTACAGGCACCTGCCACCGCACCTGGCTAATTGTTTGTATTTTTAGTGGAGACGGGGTTTCACCATGTTGGCCAGGCTGGTCTCAAACTCCTGACCTCAGGCGACCCACCCGTCTTAGCCTCCCAAAGTGCTGGGATTTACAGGCACGAGCCACCACGCTTGGCCTAGAAACACTGTCTTATTTAAATAAGAAAGAGTGTGTTTCAGAATGGAAAGAAAACAGCTTTGGAATCAAACCCAACTTGGATGCAGAATCTCACTCTCTCTCTCTCTCTTTTTTTTTTTGACTGAATCTCACTCTGTCACCTAGGTTGGAGGGCAGTAGCACGATCTTGGCTCACTGCAACCTCTGCCTCCTGTGTTCAAGCCATTCTTCTGCCTCAGCCTCCTAAGTAGCTGTGATGACAGGTGCGCGCCACCATACTGGGCTAATTTTTTGTATTTTTAGCAGAGTCGGGGTTTCACTATGTTAGCCAGGATGGTCTCCATCTTCTGACCTTGTGATCCCCCTGCCTCAGCCTCCCAAAGTGCTGGGATTACAGGTGTGAGCCATGGCACCCCGCTGGATATGTTTTTAAGAAGAAAACATACCTTACTGTTTTCTTTGTGATGTCTTCATTGGCCGCTGCAAGTGTGTGTGGCTGTGTGCATTGTGGGCAGGGTGAGGTAGCTAGCTTGATTTCCATTTTGAGAATGGGTGGTGCCTCCTCACGGAAGAATGCTTAAAACAGGAGATGGGTGCCCTCTGTTATTGTTGTATGGCAGGCAGAATAACATCCTCCTAAATGTCCACATCCAAATCCCTAGAACCTGTGAATATGTTGCATGTCAACAGGGACTTTGCAGATGCTAGTGAGGCTAAGGACCTTGAGATGGATTATTTTGGATCATCTGGGTGAGCCCAATATAATCACATGCATCCTTAGGAGTGGAAGAGGGAGACAGAGAGTTATTCAGAGACAGAGATATGGCCACAGAAGCAGAGTCAAAGAGATGCTTTGGTGTTGTATTTGAAGATGGAGGAAGAAGCCACAGCCAAGGCCTAAGAGGCAGCCTTTAGAAGGTCGGAAAAGCAAGGAAACGCATTCCCTCTCAGCCACCAGAAAGAAACGCAGCCCTCTCAACAGCCTGATTTTAGCCCAGTGAGACCCGTGTCAGACTTCCAGAAATGTAAGATCATAAATGTGTGCTGTTTTATTTTTTATTTCTTTTTCTGTTTGAAACCACTACATTTGTAAACATTTCTTTGGCAGTTATCATTGCTTTTGATGGAAGTTGGAGTAGTGGTCAAGCTCATGGGCTTTGGAGTCAGTCTGCCAGTCCGCCTTGTTTCAAGCCCCTTTTCCTTTCTTTCTTTTTTTTTTTTTTTGAGATAGAGTCTCATTCTGTGTCCCAGGCTGGAGTGCAGTGGTGTGATCTTGGCTCACTGCAACCTCTGTCTCCTTGGTTTAAGCGATTCTCATTCCTTGGCCTCCCAAATAGCTGGAATTACAGGCATGCGCCACCACAGCCAGCTTATTTTTGTATTTTTAGTAGAGACAGGGTTTCACTATGTTGGCCAGGCTGGTCTTGAACTCCTGGCCTCAGGGGATCCACCAGCCTCGGCATCACAAAGTGCTAGTATTATAGGCGTGAGCCATTGCACCCAGCCTCAAACCCTTTTCCTGTGAATTTTATTTATTTATTTATTTTAAGCTGTGTGACCTTGTAGAAGTTGCTTCACTTCTCTGGGCCTCACATTTCTCATCTCTAAAGTTGGTTAACAATAATCTACAACTCATAGTTTTTTTGTGAGGATGAAATGAGGGTTTCATAAACGCAGAAAGCCTGGAAGTAACTTTTAGCTGCAGCCATTATGGGCAAGAATCCCTCACTAGGTAACTTAAAGTGATGGATCAGGGAACAGACTTGGGAGACAGAGTGTCTAGCCTCAGCTTTAGGCTCCTCTCTTACTAGTCTGGAACAGAATGGTTGTCTGTTCCTCCGTTTCTTCATCTGGAAAACAGGGGCAGGAGTCCCAGGGTGTTGGAGAGATCATATCAGATGGAGAAGCCAGAGGTTTTAGCAGGTACCTCATAGGCATTCCCCAAAGGGCAGTTATTGTTATCATTGGATGGGCTGGGGAATATTAAGCCTCCAGCTCTAGGCATTATGGATCAATTTGTTCTTCAGTTATGTTTGGAGTAATTTAAATACGCTGGATTGGGAAGACAAAGCTATTGCCCTGCTGAGGGAAGAGTGCTGGGCACCTGGCAGGTACTCAGTAATTACCGAATGAATGAGTAGGAACAGAACAGGTCCCAGACCCTGCCCTGAAGAGGCTCACAGTGCAGGACAACGCCTGGAGCCAGGCCAGGGTTTTGTGGTCGTCTTTAAAAAGAAACAAAACAAAGAACTACTTCCTACCAGCTGACCCTGAACCTCTCAGCTCCCTGCAGGGACCTCTCAGCCCTGCAGGGGAGCCCAGGCTGTGTGCCAGGCCTGGCCTTGCTGTCAGCTTTCTAAGCCAGTCACAAATGTTCTCCCCTCAACTTCATAATGGACGCCCCACAGCCTCCTCTCCCCTCCCAGGGTGGTCCCGAGGCTCTGAGCAGCTGGCAGTTCCCTGTCTGAGAGGTCCTTGGTGCCGCAGGGGAGGCAGCTCTCACCTGAAGTCCTCCCTGGACGCTGGTCTCAATTTTGTGTGTTACTAGTTATGGAGAATTATTTTTAGTGAATTACATTCTGTTAGGGTCAAACACAAGGAGGAAAGAGTGACTGAATACTGCTCTGGGTCAGTGACTATGACAAGACTGTTTTTTTCTTCTTCCCTGTTGCAGGCCTGATCTTTTGGCCAGAAGGAGATTAAAAAGATGCCCCTCAAGATGGCTGTGCCTGTCAGCTAGCTGCATGGAGCTTCGTTCGAGTATTTTCTGAGCCTGATGGATTTACAGTGATCTTCGATCGTCTGAGGAACAACTCTGGTGGAACAATGCACTGGAATGACACACGCCCTGCACATTTCAGGATACTAAAAGTGGTTTTAAAGGAGGCCCTGGCTGAATGCCTCATGGATTCTTACAGCTTGGATGTCCATGCGGGATGAAGGACCGCAGCTGGCTGCGAGGACTGAGATCTCTGTTTACTTGGGTCTCTGCCAACTTCCTTTGGGTCTCCCTATGGAATGTAAGACCCCGACTCTTCCTGGTGAAGCATCGGATGCATGTTCCGTCCGGCGCTCAGCTGGGCTTGAGGTGAGGCTGTCCTGGCTGGTGGCGGAGGGTTCACTGGGATGTGGCTGGTTGTCTCAATGAGCTGGCATTTAATGAGCACCCTCTGTGTGGTTGGTGTGATGCTGGGTGCCTGGGGGAGACAGATGGAACCAAAGAGGTCCTTCCTGGAAGCCGTTACTGTCCCCTGCGCTGACGTGTGTTATTGTACCTGTCACCATTTTCTGATTTTCTCAGTTTACCTATCTGTCACCATCTACCTCCCTATAAAGTGCCTCTGCTGTTGGTTCTGTGCCCTTAAGACATTGTGTGTCACTTGGCACAGTCTCTCACACTGCAGAAAGGGAAAATTAAGACAGGGTTGTTAATGAATTAAGACATGGGAGATTCAATGGAAAGATATGCATGGGGGGATAATTTCTTGGCTCTGTGCTCAAAGCCAGGAACAACATAAGGCCATATGGCTGGTACTGTGAGGGTTGTATGTGGGCAGATGCATGTGGAGGCAGGCAGGCCTGGGTGTGATTCTTTAACACATACACACTGCGTGCCTCCATGCAGACTGATGGATTCCTCTCCCTGCAGTGAAGGGTTAAGTAAGTATTATCACACGCCACAGGACTGGAGTTGAAGATCGCCAAGTAGTCATTGAAATGCTGATCACATGACAGACACTCAGCACGTGGTGGGTGATGTTGGCTGGGGGTAGCTTCTGGGGATGGTGGACGTTTCTTGGCCCTGATGATCTTTCCGAGCAGAGCCAGGGAGGCAGTGCTGGACTGTGACCTGGGCACAGCTGGTTGGCGTGGACAGTTGATTAAAGGTCAGTTTCCCTGCAGCCCATGGGAAGGCAGAGTGACAAGTCAGTGGCAGATGAGGAAATGGAGTCTCGTGCCAACTGGAGGGAGGGAGCAGCCGGCTTGGCCACAAAGGCCTGTTGCAGTTCTGCAGCTGACAAGTGGAAGGACTGGCCTTTCAGGTCCGGGCCTGGTGGCCTGGGAGGCTGCTAGCTGTGAGCGATGAGTGGTGCCAAGCTGCCTGAAGGAGAGTTGCAGCTCAAACAGCAAGTGGTCCAACTCTCAGGCCACTTGAGGCCACCTGGCATGTGGCGGCCGAGACCACGGTTGGGGTGGGGCCTTGAGTCTGATTTTGATTGGATTCCTAGTTCTGCTCACGCCTGACAGCACTTTCTCAGACAGGCTTTCCTGACCTCCTAAAGTAAATAATGTCCCTCTGGGTGTTACATGCTGTTCTCACCCATAGCTCCTGGATGTGTTATAATCGTATATTCATTTGTGCGAGTTACTGGGTTTCAAGTCTTTCTCTCACACTAGAAAGTAATCTTTCTGAGTTCAGGAAATGCATTTGCCATGCTCACAGGCTAGACACGTAGTAGGCATTTTCTTTGTGGCATCACAGTTGCCTTGATCAAATATGGTGACTCTCAGTGGTTTTCTCTTGGTGTCTTTGAAAAGGTCAGACAGAAGGGAAACACTCTTTTTTTTGGAGTATATCTATGACTTAACCCGGCAATCCCACTAGGAGAGCAATGGTGTATGCATTGCACAGTTGAGCGCCTTGAGGCTCTGAGGGGCCATGTACCTTGCCCAAGGTTATTTATCCAGGAGAAGGCAGAGCCAGAAGCTGAGAACTGCCTCGTGTTTTGCACGGAACCAGGCCGCTTCAGCTGAAGACTTTTCCTTGCGGTGTTGGGAAGGGTGTGTGTGACGGTGCGCTGCAGCACGTGCTGGGCTGTGCTTGCTGTACTGTGGTCACGTAGGGGCAGGCAGAGGAGTCATTTCAGGGGGGCTGCTGAGGGTCTGGAGAGAGGCCCACAGTGGTGAGCAGAGAGGTTCTGGGATGGGAGGGGGTCAGCTGGAAACAACAGAGGCAGCACACTCCCCGCTCCCTTGTGCCTTCCCGGCCCTCCCTCACCCCTTCCTGCCCTCTCCCCACACCCTATCGTGGTGGCAGCTGTGCCTCACTTATCACATGGTCCATAGCTCTGTTTTTTCCCCTTTTATCAGTTACTGCCTAGAACAACCCAATTGTGGTGGTCTGGGTTATCTCCCGCTCTTCACAGTAGGACCAGAGTGGGCTCAGGCACCAAAGGACACAGAATGGTTGTGACAATGAATAAGATTCCTTCTCTGTGTCAGCAGGGACACTGATGTAGTAATAATGTCCATTTATTAAGCCATGATCTCTACAGGGCACATGGCACCTGTTTTTCCATTCAAATCTCAAAACAGACCTATGAGATGCGCACCATTATGGTGATTATCAGTTTTACTGTTTTTTTGTTTTGTTTTGTTTTGTTTTTGTTGTTGTTGTTGTTGTTTTTGAGACTGAGTCTTGTTCTGTCACCTAGGCTGGAGTGCAGTGGCACAATCTCGGCTCACTGCAACCTCCGCCTCCCTGGTTCAAGTGATTCTCGTGCCTCAGCCTCCCGAGTAGCTGGGATTACAGGCATGCGCCACCATGCCTGGCTAATTTTTGTTGGCCAGGCTGGTCTTGAACTCCTGACTTCAAATGATCTGCCTGCCTCGGCCTCCTAAAGTGCTGGGATTACAAGCGTGACCCACTTTGCCCAGCCTGTTTTACCATTGAAGTAACTGGAGCACCCAGAGGGAAATCAAGTGTCCCCAGGGAATACAGGCAGCATTTGGACAGCCCTGTCTAACTCCAAAGCCACCGCACAACATTGCCTGGAGCTGAGAGACGCACATTCTCCCTTCTTGGCCACCGGTGACTGTGACCTTGGGCAAACTACCTCTCGTTTTTGGGCCTTAGTACATTCATTCATAGGGAAACTGGCTAACTTCTCTTCTCAGCTGGGAGACTTGAGCGTGAAAGGGGCGCTATATTACTTACTCTGGGACGACAGGTGTACACAAGGACGTGGTTGGGCAAACCAGGCCTCGTAGCTCCCAGACCCATCAATTAGATGGTGGGTGCTGGTGCTGCTGGTGCATTATGCATCCAAGGCAGCTCTCCCAGTTTTCCCTGGACTTTTGCCTGAACAGTTTGCATTTCTGCTCATGGTGCAGGAGCTTGCTGTCCTGATTTCATGTCACAAGCCTGCCTTCAGCCACTTAGAAGAGCCCTGTTACCCCTGACTACTGCTAGAGCAGTCCCAACCTGTGTCGTTTTCACTTGATGGGCTCCTGGAATGATTGACAGCACACTCTCCACACTCTGTAGTCGTAGAGGCTGCCCTGCCACCCACACTGACATCCTGGCCAGGTTCCTGGAGATGGCCTGGCGTCTTGGACCTGTTCCCCATAGGGTGCCTAGAGCCCCTGACAGTCTGCCTAGGGTGGCCATGAGAGAAGGGCTGTGACTTAGTCATCTCCAGGGGTTCTCAGTGAACAGCCCAAGGTTGCTTAAGAGCTGGTGTGTATGAATACCTGGAATGTGCCCAGTTGACCTTCTAATCTGGTGAGGGGGATGTGTCTCCCTCTTATACATATGAACAAACTGAGGTTCAGTGAGATCCAGAAAGCTGCCACGGTTATTGATGGAGAGAGCACAGAAGCTGGTGTTTGCACTCCCATCTGTCAGCCTCGACACCCCTACTCCTGTCCAACCAGTGTTTCTCAAAGCGTGCTGATGAGCAATGCAAGATGATTTCAGGTTATAGATAAGAATAAAAAATTTTTTGTGTTTAACTCAAATTAGAAAAAACAACAATTGGTACGTGAGACCTGTGATTTTGCAGATAATACGCTTAGGATGTTGGTATTTAAGTTAAGAAAAGGTCAGCTTTTCAAAAGTACTGTTAGCGACATGTGGACCTAGTCCTCCTGAAGAAGACTGCATTGGGGCACCGGTAATTCTTTCTATTTGTGGTGCTCTGGCTGTGTGGCTCTGGCCACGTCACTGGAGGCAGTGTCTGAGCCTGTGACTTGAGTAGTAGCTCTGTGTCATGTCTGCTGATTCTCCCCAAATCCTGAAGATTCATGATGAAGTGACTGCACAGCTTAGTTTGAAGCTAGATTGAAAATAATAAGGATCCTAGAATGACAGCACTTTACAATCCTATAATTTGGCTCAAATTGCCTGCAGTTACTATCTCAGCCCTGCCTGTTATATTCGTTCAGCACCCAAAGTTTTTCAGTCAATTCCTGAGTTAATTATTCTCTGGGATTAAATTATGAAATAGTAAATATATTTCCACTATGCAATCAAATGGTGACTTTATTCATTTATTCTTTTCATTCATTTATTCTCAACAAATCGAAGATAAGGGCTGGGCACGGTGGCTCACGCCTGTAATCCCAGCACTTTGGGAAGCCGAGGTGGGCAGATCACCTGAGGTCAGGAGTTCAAGACCAGCCTGGCCAACATAGCGAAACCCCATCACTACTAAAAACAGAAAAATTAGATGGGTGTGGCGGCATGTGCCTGTAATCCCAGCTACTCAGGAGGCTGAGGCAGGGGGATCGCTTGAACCTGGGAGGCGGAGGTTGCAGTGAGCCAAGATTGCACCACTGCACTCCAGCCTGGGTGACAGAGTGAGACTCCATCTCCCAAATAAATAAATAAATAAAAAGATAATATTACCTACCCCATGAGTCTATTGTGAGAATTAAATAAGAGAACATATTAAAAGGTTTCATTCAGTGCCAGGCATATAATATGTACTCAGGGAATACTAGTTTTTTTAAATAAAATTTTAAAATGGGATTAGAAGACCAAAGCATATAGACATAAAGGTTTAAAAAATATTGAAGATGAGTGAGTTACTAAAATTTTACATTACGTTTAGCTCTTAGCTTCCTAGTTAGTACAACATGCTAAGTAGGTTATACTTGTGTCTAAAGTAAGGCTTGGCAAACTTTTATATCAAGGACTAGGTGGTAAATGTTTTCAGCTTTGCAGGCCACGCAGCTCTGTACTGCTTGTCAGTTCTGCCTTTGTATCTTGAAAGTAGCCATAGATAATATGTAACTGAGTGGGTGTGGCTGTGTGCCAATAAAACTTTATTTACAAGAACTGGCAACGGGCTTATAGGCTGTAGT